ATTTTTTTATTTATTTGTTTGTTTTTTGTTTTCTTTTTGTTCGTTTCTTTATTTTTTTATTTATTTGTTTGTTTGTTTGTTTTGTTCTTGTTTGTTTCTTTATTTTTTTATTTATTTGTTTGTTTTCTTTTTGTTTGTTTCTTTATTGTTTTATTTATTTTTTTATTTGTTTCTTTTTTTTGTTTATTTTTTTATTTATTTGTTTGTTTGTTTGTTTGTTTTCTTCTTGTTTGTTTCTTTATTTTTTTTATTTATTTTTTTATTTTTTTTGTTTTCTTTTTGCTTGTTTGTTTCTTTATTTCTTTATTTGTTTATTTGTTTGTTTTCTTCTTGTTTGTTTCTTTATTTATTTTTTTGTTTGTTTGTCTGTTTTCTTCTTGTTTGTTTATTTATTTATTTTTGTTTGTTTGCTTTCTTGTTTGTTTGTTCGTTTGTATATTATTTATTTGTATGTTTGTGTATATTCCTATTGTTTGTTTGTTTATTTGTTTAGTTTCTGTTTGTTTATCCGTTTACTTGTGTATGTATGTGTCTCTTTGTTTTCTTTTTGTTTGTTTGTTTACTTTCCTGCTGCTGCTGCTGCTGCTGCTGCTGCTGCTGCTGCTGCAGCTTCAAGGTGGGAGACCTAGACCTGAAGGCCCGCCGTTTTCTCTTCGTTGAGCGGCTACACCCCAAGGAGACACCGATGCAGCTCGACACCCACACAAACGGTGCTGCTGCTGCTGCTGCAGCAGCAGCAGCAGCAGCACAAACTGCAGCAGCAGCAACTGCAGCAGAAACAGCAGCAGAAACTGCTGCAGCAGCAGCAGCAGGAGCAGCTCCTACCTCTCCCTCTGCAGCTCGGGACCCGAACGATGGCGACAGCCACGTCTCCGGGAGCAGCTCCCTGCCCCCCGCAGCAGCAGCAGCAGCAGCAGCAGGAGCAGCAGGAGCAGCAGCAGCAGGAGGGAGAAGCAGCAAGAAGCCGCAGCGGCGGCGTGCTGCTGCGCGGGGGCTGCGGGATCGTCCCCCCGACTCCTTCTCCCGCCTGGCTGACCAGTGGTTACGCATGCAGGGCCTCCACCCTGTCTCCTTTGAACGGCTCTGCGCGCTCTGTCCCCCCTGAACACTAGTTTTTTACTGTCTCCTTTTCTACTGTCTCCTTTTTTACTGTCTCCTTTTCTACTGTCTCCTTTCTAGCTTCTACTTTTATACTGTCTCCTTTTTTACTGTCTCCTTTCTAGTTTCTACTTTTACACTGTCTCCTTTCTAGTTTCTACTTTCTAGTTTCTCCTTTCTAGCTTCTACTTTTATACTGTCTCCTTTTCTACTGTCTCCTTTCTAGTTTCTCCTTTTTGTTGTCTCCTTTCTAGTTTCCACTTTACACTGTCTCCTTTTCTACTGTCTCCTTTTTTACTGTCTCCTTTTTTACTGTCTCCTTTTTTACTGTCTCCTTTTTTACTGTCTCCTTTTCTAGTTTCTCCTTCTCTACTGTCTCCTTTCTAGTTTCTCCTTCCTAGTTTTTCCTTTTCTAGTGTCAAAGTTTATACTGTCTCCTTTTCTAGTTTCTCCCTTTCTAGTATCTCCTTTTATACCGTCTCCTTTTCTAGTTTCTCCTTTTGTACTGTCTCCTTTCCTACTGTCTCCTTTTCTAGCTTCCCCTTTTATACTGTCTCCCTTTCTAGCTTCTCTAGTTTTTATAGTTTCTCCCTTTCTAGGTTTTCCTTTTCTAGTGTCTCCTAGTATCTCCTTTTATACTGTCTCCTTTTCTAGTTTCTCCTTTTCTACTGTCTCCTTTTATAGTTTCAACATTTCTACTGTCTCCTTTTCTAGTTTCTCCTTTTCTAGTTTCTCCTTTTATACTGTCTCCTTTTCCAGTTTCTCCGTTTCTACTGTCTCCTTTTCTACTGTCTCCGTTTCTAGTGTCTCCTGTCTTTGTGTGGTTTTGTCTTTGTGTATATTTTTAACAGTTATCAAGCGTTCCTTGCATTCGATACAATAGGATTTGCATGCATGCATGCATCTGCTGCTGCTGCTGCTGCAGTTGCTGCAGCAGCAGCAGCTGCAGCAGTAGCCAAACAAGTCTGCCAGCGAGGGTGCAGCCCCAAAAACAAAGAGCTTACAGCTCCCCCCACGGAGACAGTCCCATGGGGGCGTATCAGTGCAGCAGCAGCAGCTGCTGCTGCAGCAGCAGCAGCAGCTGCTGCAGCAGCAGCAGCAGCAGCAGCTGCAGCAGCAGCAGCGCAGCTGCAGCAGCAAAACACCTGTAGCACTGACAGAAAGGTTAAGGAAAAAGCCAAAAGCATACAGCTAGGGACACATTACATTAGCCCCTAGAGAGATGCTGCCGCTGCCGCTGCTGCTGCTGCTGCTGCTGCTGCTGCTGCTGCTGCTGCTGCTGCATCTCTGCTGCTACTGCTGCAGC